GTGTGTGTGTGTGTGTGTGTGTGTGTGTGTGTGTGTGCGTGTGTGTCTGTGTGTCTCAGTTTTCAGCTCCAGACAGTCTTGAGACCAAGAACTGATACTGGATCAGAACTGGACCCGGTCTAGACCTGAGGGCTTTAACACAGACCTGCAGGGATCAGATCTGTTTGGACCAGCAGAACCAGAACCGGTCTCAGAAACTGGTTCTGAACTGAAGGTTCTGAGGGAGGACCGGTCCAAACCTGAACCCATCAGGACACAAAGGTCCAGACCGGCCTGTGGGGGGGCGGACTCTTCAGTTAAACACGGTGGAGGCCGCATCATGATGGGGGGCTGCACAGACCAGGACCATCAGAGGGTTCTGTTGTTGGTTCTGGACCTCCAGGTTCATCAGAATTTAACAGAGTCTAAAACTTTGACTTCTGCTCATTCTGTCTCCGTTAAACGAGCAGAACCAGAACCAGAACCAGACCGGGTCAGAAGCACTGGAATCTGGTCTGAGTTATGGAGCGCGAAACCGGATCAGAACCGGATTAAAGAAGCAGCGTCTGTTTTCTTCCTCCTCCTCCTCGTCTCTCAGCGGGATTTTAATCTGCTCTGATCTGAATTCATGAGATTTTAAACATTTATTGTCCTCAAATCACACACACACACACACACACACACACACACACATATATATATGTGTGTGTGTGTGTGTGTGCTTCAGCTTATTTTATTTTTTCAATTAATTTAGTTAAAATAGAATGTATAAGGTTAAGTTGTGTATTTTAAATAAATCTTAATTTTCTGAAGTTAAATAACATCTGAAAGCAGAAACGTTTTTATCATTAATAATTTACTCTGAAAACACGAGTGATCTTTGGGACTAAAAGGATTTTAGTAAAATGATAAAAACCCTGAATTGGTGATGTGTTCACTGACCAGTGATGCGTTCACTGACCGGTGTGCATTCACTAACCAGTGATGCCTTTACTAACCGTTGTTTTGTTCACTGACCGATGATGCGTTCACTGACCGGTGATGCGTTCACTGACCGGTGATGCGTTCACTGACCGGTGATGTGTTCACTGACTGGTGATGCGTTCACTGACTGGTGATGTGTTCACTGACCGGTGATACCTTCACTAACCAGTGATGCGTTCACTGACCGGTGATACCTTCACTAACCGGTGTTGCGTTCACTGACCTCCACAGCCTTGTAGAAGATGCTGCTGCCGATCTGGACCACCTCCAGGTTCTGCTCCTGCTCGTTCCGGGCACACTTGATGTAGGTCATCCAGCTCCTCTGGTCCTCCTGACTCGCATCGATGAAATACCGAACCGTCCCGTCCTCGTTGAAGACCTGAGGAGACCGAGGGGGGACACTTAGACCAGGTCCACTTACAGACCAGCAGACGATCTGAGGACACCTGAAGTCATTGGGCCTCATGCAAGAACATGTTGGTATTCTTATCCTAAATTTCTCTTACTTTTGTTCGTACAAAGGGTTCGTACGAACATGTCACGTCAGATTCAACAAACTCTTCTATCTTCAGGAAAAGTGTTTAAATGAGCTGCGTAAATTACACCTGTTCATATCCAGCTGCTGTCCATTCATGAAAATGACAGCGAAAATTAAAAATAAGAACTTTACGAGTTCAGAGATTGAAGTCCGTCTGTCAG